CTCTGCTCATTTCTGTGCGCCCGTTGTACCTCGATCATTACAATAAGTTAAGTGACATCCATAGAGACTCGACCGAGCGTATTCAAAACGCACCACACAGGGCGCGCAATTAGGTATAGGCTTTTACACACACTCTCCATTTTATACTCTCCCAAAATATATCTTTCTGTACAGAAAAACCTGGTTTTAATGAAAATTTAGAATTTAGACTTGCTGTAGATATGACTATATATGTCTACTTTTTTTTAGTTTAAAACTGTCTAATGGTATAAACTCTTTTCTTTTTTTTACACAAAAATCTTTACACAGGAATTACACATTGTTCTCAGTCTACATGGGCTGTATTCATAGACACTACTTGCCAATTTTATCTCTGTTACACTGCACATAGTTTACATGCGGTCTTGGATTCAGTAAATAATAGGAAGGGCGGTCATGGGCATTTCAGTGTACTCAAGAGGGTTACTTTTATGATGCTAATGTAAGGTTTTAATTTTACTGATCCAGGTGGTTACTTGTTTATTTTACACTGTACATTTAGCTTTCCACTCCGTTATGCTTCAGCGCACTCCTGACCTTCATTCATTCTCTCATGTCTGCTAGCTCTTGGCTTCCATTGTTCTGTCCCTATTCATTCATCCTCATGCACATTACCTGGTATAGCACCACACACACACACTCTTCCATCTCTTATGCCTAGTTCACACCGACGCCGAATGTCGCGCTTTAAATCGGCGATCAATTCGGCGTCATTTTTTCAAAAAATCTCACGATCTCCTGAGATATGTTATGCTAAGTTCACACCGACGCCGAATTAATGGCGCATTAAATCGGCGAAGCGTAACAAAGCTTAATTAAAGCGTAAAGACCGTAATAGAGCGTGAGAAAGCTTTGAGCAATTCGGGACATTCGGCAAGAGCGCCAAAAATTTAAACTCTGTTAAGCTTTCCTACGCTTTGAGCAAAACTTTGATAAGCTTTGTGACGCTTTGATAAGCTTTAATACGCTCTCCCCGCTTTACGCAATTCGTGACAGATCGCCTCAAAATTTTAAACAGTTTAAACAATTTTGGCGCTCTTGCCGAATGTCCCGAATTGCTCAAAGCTTTCTCACGCTCTATTACGGTCTTTACGCTTTAATTAAGTTTTGTTACGCTTTGCCGCCGCTTTGCTCGCCGATTTAATGCGCCATCAATTCGGCGTCGGTGTGAACTTAGCATTAGCTATTCAACCCAGCACACATGGCACTCTACCTTTACAAGCTTTTCTATTGGTTACTAGCTTACTTATTGTCCAATCTTGTGATTGGTGATTATTGTTTCATGGACTGCATGTCAGCCATCTTGACAGCCATTTTGTGGTTGTAATAAAATCTAATAGTGCAGCTCAAGTCATCAAACATGTAAGACCACTTTTGTCTTGTGTGGGTCCTTACAACTGGTGGCAGCGGTGGGATGGAAGGAGGGTGCAGTCTGCAACTGGTTATGTTGCTACGCCAACACTATGTAGAATATACAGGTTTATACGGCAGAATGCTTTAACGTACAGCAGCCAAAGGCAGATTATACATGCAAACTGAATGTGATAAGTTGCTAGAAAAATACAGAACTGTATGAAGGGTGAAGAAAAGAAACCTCACTCACTGATGAATCGATGAATGCAGGAATATCCACCAAAATACAGCTCCAGTATGAAGAAGGGTAAAAGAAATCTCACTTACTGATGAAGGATGAGTGAAGGAATCCACAAAATTACTGATGTAGGAAGAAATCAAGGCTCAAAAAGTCAAGATGAAACTTCAGTAATTAATGAAGGAAGTTGAATACACACAAACACTAACTGCTTCAGCTTTTAAATGAAGGGAGGTCAATCAGTGAGAAGAAGGGTGATATCATGCTCTCAAACATTCACATTCATATACAGATGGAGGGAGAATTTCACCTTGCAACTCACCACTAAAAACACTGCAGGAATTTCTACATATGAAGGAAGGCTGCAATTACAGTTTAGTGCAGAAAAACCACCGCTGTCACCAGTTGTATGAAGGGTGAAGATACAACAAAAAGAGAATGTAAGATTCAGATTGCATTTGTCACAGGGTTGACCTGAATTAATTTACAAAGAGGACTTTCTAAATGTGTCAACAAAAACAATAACTAAAAGTTGATGTGATTATTTAACTTACAGTACATGTTTACATCGTTTTCTGAACATCACGTTTTAGTCATTTGACCTATATTAATGTTTTCAGATATTTGGATTTAAAACAGATTCTCGATACATGAATTCATAAGATGTGTTTTTTCATTACATTAATCATTTTTAGTCAAGATTTTATCGACCATAGACACTGTATTTGTATAATGTCTCCTTAAATCTGAGACAGTATTGAAAGAGTTATGTCAGAATGCATGCATATTCTCTGTGTACATTGTATTTCATTATTCAATTGGCTAACTTATTCCAAAAACAAAAAATCAAAAATTAACAGTGATTCACGAAACAGTGATATTTTTTTTTTTAGGTGAAGACATTGCCATGTATTTTTTGTAAAATTATTGACAGTTGCCAAATTGGGTATGAAATATTTGATATTTTGTCATTACTGACAGGGCAAAAAAAAAGAAGGGAAATTATTCAATGTGTATGTCTACAGATGATTAGACTGGAATTTTCAGGGTGAGAAAGGATAGAACCCATTGAAGTTAGGAAGTTGTTTGGAAGATGTTCATTGATGAAAGCATACCATTTTCTTGTATTCGCTATATGTGTGACCTTTCATTTTAAACAGTTTAATTTTCCCTAATATGAATAGATGCTATTTCTTGAAGAAAAAAAAGAAGGGAATTGTACAGAAGGAAAACTTCATGATTTGATTTGTTCAGGTATTTCAAGCAAATTTATGTGACTCATTTTCTTCGGAAACAAATGCATGTTAATACGAAGTATCTTTTAAAATGAGGACATTTTTCTGTGAAGATGGAATATTATGTAAGGTTTTAATTTTACTGATCCAGGTGGTTACTTGTTTATTTTACACTGTACATTTAGCTTTCCACTCCGTTGTGCTTCAGCGCACTCCTGACCTACATTCATTCTCTCATGTCTGCTAGCTCTTGGCTTCTATTGTTCTGTCCCTATTCATTCATCCTCATGCACACTACCTGCTATAGCACCACACACACACACTCTTCCTATCTCTTAGCTATTCAACCCAGCACACATGGCACTCTACCTTTACAAGCTTTTCTATTGGTTACTTACTTATTGTCCAATCTTGTGATTGGTGATTATTGTTTCATGGACTCAGGCGCGCCGGAAGCAGTATAAGATTGGGGGGGGGGGGGGGGCAAACATTCCAGGGGGCTCACCTTCCAGGGGCAGTGACGTAACGAGCAAAAATGTTTGGAAGGGGGGGGGCATAAGAAAAATCTGCATCACCATCACTCTTACACGTTACATGCAGGCCAGGCCCCGCGGAACGTTTTTCAAAGTGGATTATTAACAATCAGGTAGAGCGTAAAATGGCGTGGGGTCCAGGGGCTGAGCCCCCAGAAGTTTAGGGGTTTTAGGAATATAATTATGGTCAGATAAGCATATTTAGATACCTTATTTGTGACACTGGCAGGCCACTAATTGGCGGAGAGTCCAGGGAGCAGAGCCCCGGAAGCTCGGGGGTTTGAGGTATTTAATAACGGTCAGATGAGCATACAGGGGACCGCCTTAGGGCCCTTGGTGGGGTCTGGGGGCGGAGCCACCGTAAGCTCTGAGATTTTAGACATTTAATTAAGGTCAGATGAGCATCCAGGGCCCCGCCTTAGGGCCCTTGGTGGGGTCCAGGGGGTAGAGCCCCCGGAAGCTCAGGGGTTTTTAGGTATTTAATAACGGTCAGATGAGCATACAGGGGACCGCCTTAGGGCCCTTGGTGGGGTCTGGGGGCGGAGCCCCCGTAAGCTCTGGGGTCTTAGACATTTAATTACGGTCAGATGAGCATCCAGGGCCCCGCCTTATAGCCCTTGTTAGGGTCCAGGGGGCAGAGCCCCCGGAAGCTCGGGGGTTTTAGGTATTTAATTACGGTCAGATGAGCATATTTTGATACCTCATATGTGACATTGGCAGGTCACTTATTTTTTCTCTCTCTCTTTCTTTCTTTTTCTCTGTAACAAACTTTTTCAACAATTGAGGGTGGCACGAGTCCCCGAGCCCTGCCGTTCTGCAGTCCCTAACATAAATGCTTCTAAATAAGCATATTTTTCGCCCGACTGTAAATTTTGGAATTTCTAATTTTCCAACAAACGCATAAAAAGGTATGACTTACCAAAAAAATGAGAAAATATACCGGAAAATCATGTCATTTCAGCAACATTTGTAAATCACTGGTATCGAATAAAAAAAAATACCCCCCCCCCCATCAGTACGCCAGCGTTCAGGGGCTCATAAGCATCTCACCCATATAACAAAAAACAGACACGCTTTCCCATTCTTTCGCAATATGTCCACGATATGCGCGTATCGCTATTATAAAAACCTCCATTGATAAATATAGGTAGCTTGCGCAATGTTTAGGAAATTTAATTCCTGTTAACTTTCCTTTTCTTTGAATGGAATTTCATACGTCATTTAATTCAGGTTTTTATTATTGTTATGTTCTTTTGGGTTAAAAATACAAACCATCTTTACTCCTTTACTGCTTTTTTTTTTTTGTTGAGGGGGGGGGGGGGGGGGGGCGTTTTGGGGGGGCAAAAATGCGTTTTGCCCCCCCAATTTTGTGATCGGGGGGGCAGCTGTCCCCCCCTGCCCCCCACTTCCGGCGCCTATGCTGATGGACTGCATGTCAGCCATCTTGGCAGCCATGCATTTTGTGGTTGTAATAAAATCTAACAGTGCAGCTCAAGTCATCAAACATGTAAGACCACTTTTTTCTTGTGTGGGTCCTTACACTAATAGTGAATATAATTGACCTTCCTGTGACTTTCTCTTCTTTTTGTTTAACCTTTGCAGATCGAGCTCTATTAATTGCCACTTGAGCCATCAAGGCAGCCTCTGTTTCAAGTGCTTCATCAATGGATTTCTCAATTATCAGAAGTCTAGGAATTCAGGAAGCGAAGGTTTAGCACGTATTCCTGAAGATTCAAAGTGCTCACATTCCATGTGGTCACCATGCCTAAGAAGAGGGTTTCACACAAGAACAAGAAAGGGCAACAGTCATCAGCAAAGGACAGCCCAAGAAATACCAAAGATGAGAATTCAAAAGGACCCAGTACCAATCCCCAAGGGACACCAGGAGACGGAGAAAAAGCATGGCCCATGAAGGATGGAGCCACAGGTTAGTTTCAATCGAGCAGACATTTAATTTTCAGACCAAGCATACGGTCGAGTGGCCCATATATGAAAATGTGGTTCTACTGTTTCCTTTTAAGATTTTTGTTTACTGTTGTAGAGTAATTATGATGTAAAAGTGAGATAAAATGAATTGATAATAACCATGCAGACATCAGCTGTCAAAGAGGTTGGATGGTATTTGAAAAGTGTGTTATTTAAAACTGAGAGGCAGTGGCGTAATGAGCAAAACTTTTTTTTAGGGAGGGCACAAGAAGAAAAAAAAGGATAATCTACAAACAAGTGAGAAAAAGCCCTAGAAAATCATGTCATTTCAGCAACGCGCTTGTAATAAATGGTATTGAATTAGAAATAAACCACGTTTGAATCAGTACGCCAGCGCTGAGAGGTACATGTAAGTAATTGTCATGGTAACAAATCTGATATTAGGAAAGTCATTGGTTAATGTCTAAGCAGAGCTAAAATGCACTTGGATAGTTTACAGAGAAATAGCACGAGTAAGACGTTTTTATTTCATGTAAGTTAATTGTATCCCCCGGCAGTATGCCGGTGGGGAACTATGGATTCAGCAGCGTTACGCCGCCGCATCATATTCTTGTATGCGCTCTAACTGCCATTTTCCTCGACAGATTTCTTTCAAAATCTCCAAGCCTATAGATTTTGGTGATGCTGCCTCTAGAGTTCCGTCGTTTATAGGATCAAAGGTCATATTTTGATGTCTTGTGTGTGCACTCTAGTGTGCGATCTAACTACATCATTACTTGGCGGATTTCTATCAAATTTGTAAAGAGGTGTATCTTGGTATAATCTACACACCTATAACTTTTGGGTATGCTGCCCCCAGTGTTCCGTCTTTTATAGGGTTAAAGGTTATATTTTTGTGGATGGTTTGTGTTCGTTCTATAGGCAACATTTCTAAAGGGATTTTGTTCAAATGTTGAACGAAGGTGTATCTTAGTATAATCTCCAAGCCTATAGATTCTGGTGATGCTACATGTAGCTGCCTCCAGTGTTCTGTATTTTATAGGGTAAAAGGTCATATTTTGATAGATCTTGTGTGCACTCTAGTGTGCGATCTTACTGCAACATTTCTTGACAAATTTCCTTCAAAATGTGTATCTTCTCGATATATTTCTTTCAAATTTTGTATAGAGGTGTATCTTGGTCAAATCTTCACATCTTTGGTGTTTGGTGATGCTGCCACACATGTGTTCTTCTGTTATAGGGTCAAAGTTTATATTTTGGTGGCTTTCATTTTGTGCTCTGTAACTGCTCATTTTTTGACAGATTTCTTTCAAATTTTTGACTGATTTCTTTCAAATTTTCGACAGAGATGCATACTCTAATCTACACACATATTGTTTTGTTGATGCTGCTCCTAGTCTTGACAATAGTCCGAGCCACTAGTGGCAATCTCTACGTCATCCTTTTGTTTCAGGGAGGGAGAGAAGGGATCTTTCTCCCTCCTTCGAACATATACATGCATGCAAGGATGACACAAAAGTCGCTGCCAGTGCCGGGGCACTTCTTTTTTCTTCTTTTTTTCCCACCCGTTCACCTGGCACTGACCAGGCCGACGCTTACCCCTGCCCGGCAGGCTCAGGAGAGCGCCGGCATGGTACCGTGGGTAAAAATGTTTCCCAGCTCAATCACTGTCAACTCACCACTCAGGTACCAAACTGGGACCAAATGTCAAAATTTCTGTTTGGACTCGAAGGAAAATGGATTATTTTGTCATCTTTGGTTTTTAGAACAGCATTGTTTACTATTATTATTATTATTATTAAATCGGTGCCTTCAACTGCAATTCGAAGTAAAATCGCTTGAGTTTTCAGAGACGGACCTGGGATACTGCTCCCGTAGTGGTGGTGGCAAAAAAACAAAAAACAAACAAAAACATGGCGACCGAGTATTTGAGTATTCGCCTGTAAGCCTGGGAGTGTACTCGAGTACCTCATTGTAAACACGGTTATGCACAGCCTTAATACATATTGCGATATTTCTAGTTATTTTACTGTGAGGTTTTGGAATTGTGAAAATGATAAAGAAATTGACTCGGCCTGGCTGAAAAGCGCACCACTGTACGCGAAAATGTGTACAGTATATCTACTAAGTCATTTTGCCTATTGAAATACATATTCTTAATGGGTGAATAAGTAATATAACGATCAAGGCACTTAACAAAGATTTGTGCATCAAGTGTGATTACATTACCAGGCGCGGATCCAGGATTTTCCAATAGGGGGGGGGGGGGGGCCGGATATTTGAAAATCGCGCAGACCGTTATTTCAACTCGACTTACCAATACTGACAAGGTTATATTAAAAGCACCGTACCGGTACATACAAGCGGGTACAATTTTTTTTCTTTTTTTTCCCCTTTTTTTTCTCTTATCCGATATCAACATTCCCCAAGTTTAAGTTATGTGCGAGCAATTTTTTTTACATTTTCATCAGGGGGGGGGGGGGGGCTGAATCCACTTGCTTAAATATTAATTTTCTGGGTTCACAATTTCGCGAGCGAGCGAGCGAGCGAAAATTGAGCATATGTATGTTGTGAAAGTGTTATTTATCCCCAAAATACGCGAGATAAGACATTAAAAAAATGCATATTCGGTCAGGTTGTAATTTTTAAATTTGCGGGGAAAGAGAGGCTGTACCCCGCATTAACTGCAAGAAATGAAATTTGAATGCCTGTGGAGTAAAAAAAATAACAGCTCTAGCTACAACCATGATTACATGAGAGCTTCCATTTTTGGGGAAATCCAGAACAATTAAACTTTTGTGGTGTTATATCTGTGTTTCATGACTGTCAAAATATATTTAACACTTTCTTTATATCTTTACATATTTATATTCATGAATTACTTCATCACTCTTGTTCGCTTATAAAATGACAATGTGCTCGTCGTGCTGAGTTATTTGCTATAACTATGATTGCAATGAAAACTTCCATTTATTTGGAAATCCAGAACAATTAACTTGTGGTGCTCTATATGTGTTTCATGACTGTCAAAATATATTTAACACTTTCTTTATATCTTTACATATTTACATTCATGAATGACTTCATCACTAACGGTTCGCTTAAAAATACGATCGTGCCGAGTTGTTCGCTACAACCAATATTGCAATGTGAACTTCCTTTTATTTGGAAATCCAGAACAATTAACTTGTGGTGCTCTATATGTGTTTCATGACTGTCATAATATATTAAACACTTTCTTTATATCTTTACATGTTTGTATTACTTTATCACTCTCGTTCGCTTACAAATAACAACGTGCTCATTTTACTCCGTATTCATATGAATATAATATAAATATTTTTAACAAATCCGCATCACCACCACTGTTACATGCAGGCCCCGCTGAACGTTTTTCAAAGTTGGTGGGGGAGGGGCTAAAGAATTTACGATCAGGTAGAGCGTAGCGAGAGAAGCGAGTGAAGCGTAAATTGGCTTGGGGTCCAGGGGAAAAAGCCCCAGCGGGGGTCAAGGGGCAGACCCCTCGGAAGCTCAGGAGTTCAGTTTAGGAATTTAATTACGGTCAGATGAGCATATTTTGATACCTTATTTATACCTTATCACTAATATACCCGGGGTCCAGGGGACTGAAGCTCAGGGTTTTAGGCATTTAATAATGGTCAGATGATTTAATTGCGGTCAGATGGGCATATTTTGATACCTCATTAGTTGTGTGGCATGGCACTGGCAGGTCACAATTTTTCTTTCTTCCTTTCTTTCTATTTTAATATCTTACACATACTTTTTTCTAGTGAGGGGGTGGCTTGAGCCCCCAAGCCCCGCCGTTCCTCGGGCCCTGACATGTGCCCATGCCTTGAGCCATAATGTATAGCCGTACAGAGGATTTTTTCATGTTGGGGACCGGGGTAAAATGCAATGAATTATTGATCATTTACTGCATTTTTTATTTAATTTTTATTTGTGGGAACTGCCCCCTACCCTAGCCCCCGCTGCGTACAGTCATGGTTGAGTGGCAAAGCAATGGTCTCGTAACTGTGAGGCCCCAGGATCAAAACCGTGTCGATGTGCTATATTAGTGCCCTTTTGTGGGGCATTAATCCTCATTACTGTCATTTATGACTTAAGGGCGTAGGTCCCCTAGTTGATAAGCATATTAGCATACACATGCTTTAGCAGTCACGCAAAACAAACACTGGCAAATCATTATTCAATAATGTCTGAGAATTGATACTATTATCTAGATCTATTAGGAATAAATCATTGTCAAAATGATTCCATAAATTGGGGTTAAAATAAATATTCCAACGTTATGAGCGACAGTTTATATTCTCATAGTAAATAACATATTGTTTTTTTTTTTTATCATAATCATACCTTGTCACATCAATACTATATCACATCGTTTCTTTTCATAAAAACATTATATTCTTGCATCACATGATAACGTATCTTATAATAAATACTTTGTTATCATTTCGTGCAATGTTGAGTCAGGTGATATCACATTAATGCAATAACATAAAGATATCATATTTAGATCATGATCATATTATGTTATGGAATAGCAATCATGTCGATCATATCTCCTTTGTATCATGATTTTCATATGATTGTGCTGATAAAGTGTAAATTTGATTTCTTCAATCGTTAAGAGTTCATTTTACTGTACAAGTGTTGCCGTAATTATATGTCGCAATTATAATTTTGAAATATGAATGCAAATGTATGTATTCCTGTTATATTCTGGCCCGTCTCCTTGGTCCAGTGGTCAAGACATTGGCGTTCTAATAGCCAGTGAACCTTGTTCGATTCCCGGCGGAGTCATTTTTCCACATTCGCAATCAATTCCGAAAAGGGATGACAGCAACTAAAAGTATCTAGGAAATCAATGTATTTCCCTGGCTTTGGATTTCTTTTTTGTCTTCGATTTTCATACTTACTTTCAAAATAATCTCTCAACCTTAAATTCCTGCAAAATTCAGAACCATCTTATTTTTATGAAACTGCGGACGTAGTAAAAAAGTTAATTTCAAGGATTTGTATTTCAATTGTTTTAATCAGCATTAATATACTCTCTTAGAGTAGGTTAGATAGAAACTTTATAATGGAAAAATATGCATCAGTATTAACAAACTTGACACTTCTGTGGCGTGGGAAAGTGGTGTACCCTATTGTTCAGTGCTATTGTAAACAGATGGCAATTTAATTGTACTGAAAATTCAATAACCAACAGAACGAGCGTTCTCTTTTATACAGATATTGTTGTATTAACCAAAACAAATCCACACTGTAGGCCTAGGCATACATACATGTACATCACACGCAATAGATCCAAGATTTAATACCACCGAGAGCCCCCCCCCCACGTTCGGAATCGTATAGGGCTGCTGCTATTATCTCTCAGGAAAGTACCCTATATAGTACATGTACATTCTTTTACCGTGTGCGTAGGCCATTTAAGGGTTTTTAGAGGGTAGATTTTCCAAATACGAACTTGTTTATGATGCTTAAAATTTGTTTATAATGTAATGGTAGTTGACATATTATAGCACAGGAAACCATTTATCCAGGCGCGTATCAAGGATTTTCCAATAGGGGGGATGGGGGGATGGGGGGGGGGGGCGGAAATTTGAAAATCGCACAGACCGTTATTTAATTAATTCAAAATCCCAATACCGACAAGGTCATATTAGAAGCACCGTACCGGTAACTACCAGCAGGCACAGGCTTTGGAAAGGGGGCAGGCTCACGCCACGTCACCGTCACTTTAAAGGGATAGTTGAGTTCTGTTGCAGAGGGCGCTACACAAAATATTTTTTTTGTGAGATAATGAAAAACTGAGTGTCAAATTTGAAAGAACATAATATTTAAATGACAAAATCATCTTTGTTTGATCAAAATCGGTTCAGAGACGGCTGAAACATAACGATTTCTAATACTTGTGTACCACCACAAATATTAGATATTTTGACAAATTTGAAATAACCGTTGAAAACCGTTGAAAAGAACGAAATAACGCATTTTACGTCGTATTTCAGCCAATGCCGATGTTGGCTTTTTTGTTGGCATTTTCGTGTTGCTTATACTACCCACAATTAGCTGGCTCATGTATTGTTATTTTTTAATTAAATAATGAATTAATGGTCACCGTGTTTTTTGGAAAGTGGAGCTGAATTGGTATGATCGTATTGGCTAAATTTCACACATTTTGGGGTCTTAAATTACCTTCATAGCAATTTTAGGTTCTAAAAGGGCACTATAAATGTCATAGATAAGAATAAGAGCAATAACCATGCACTTTGAAGGCATTTGCGGTCTGAAAACAGAACTCAACTATCCCTTTAAAGGTACCGGAAATACAAAGTTTTGGGAAATTTTGAAAATTGGGTGGATAGTGATTCTTTACAATTTTAATATGTTTGGATGCCCCTGTGGATGTAGAATAAGCACTAGAAAATTTAGCCCCTAAAACACTTCTGCTTTTGAGAAAAATTGAAAATAAAAATTTACTGATGCTCCCGATAAATTTGGATAAATTTCAAATTGCGCCTACGGCCGTACAATGGTAGCTGCGACCATGAAAATTTCAGAATATGTAGTTGTATATAATTATGTAGCTGTATATGTATATGTAATTTCCAAACGGGAATAGCTAATTGGTCGATTTTAGACAAGAAACATTGTTTTAAAGCTTAATTAATATCTTGACCTTGAGAGGGAGCTATACAACATAAAGAGTTTATTATTTACAATTTCATAACTTTAGACTTAGATTTTAACCACGACAACGATCACTGAATATTGTAGGATCGCATATATGCTTCCAATATGTTCATTTGAACCAAATTCATGATCCAATACCAAAACTTTGTATTACCTTTAACTTTGAAATTTGTTATCCAATGAATACAAAAGATATATCATGAGTGCTTTTACATGAACCCTTTTTTAATAAATATATTATGCTGGATTCTGATCCAGATTGCACAACCTAAAATGATAAGATGGTCATCCCCAATACGCTTGCAGTTCTCAACCCTTCCTCCTTATTCCCTCATCTATCATTACCGTCACTGCCATTGACGTATATGGCCGGCCCCCCGGCCCTCTTCAATAAAGGCTCCGTAGACTTCTGGAATAACCCAAAATGTTCTGATCACCATACTGCCGCTCTTTGGAGGGTCCGGGCGCGGCCTTTTCAGAAGTATTTTTTACTAACCTTTTTAGGCACTACGGCTTAAAATAAACAAGCATGCTTATAATTTTTTGAAAATAAGCTGAATTCTGACTCAGTTTTGCACAACCTTAAAATTAGCCCCCCCCCCCTCCATGCGTGCGCATTTCACACGCACATACCCCCTCCCCAAGTTTTTCCCGTTTTCTTCGTTACTGTCACTAAGTGTCATTTCCTTGTCTTTCTTCCTTTCTCACCCGGCTTCTAGCTCTCTTCTTTCTCTTTTCTCTTTCTCTGTCTCTCTCTCTTTCTTTTCTTTTCTTCTCTCCTCTTTTCTCTTCTCTTCTCATTTTTTTTCTTCTTCATTTCCTCCTTTTTTTTCCTTCCTCTTTTTTTTGGCGCCGCCAATAGGGGGAGCCGCGGCCGTTTCGGCCCCCCCTTGGATCCGCCACTGCATTACGGTAATGGGACTATTATACAAATGTTGACTGCTTTGAGGGGCACGGTGAAAACTATGGCCCGAGGTGAGCTCACAACTGTGCTATTCCCCGAGACGACAGTCGAGGGGCATATAGCGCAGTTGTGAGATCACCGAGGGCCATGGTTTTTAACCTTCTTGAGCTCAGAAATTAATGTCAAAGACAGATGAAATACGGCACTGTAACATAATTCTCATCGATTGCTCTTTCGAAATTTCGTTCGCTGTACATGTTTGATATGGTGCTGGCCGCGCCCAAGCGTATCTAAATTGCCATAGACATAATTCTATGCCCGGTCAATATTTTTCACTATACCGCCCAGCAGTCCATAGTGAATTTCATGCCCGCAAATTTGACCAATCCGAGGCCTAGAATCTAGACATGCGGTATATAATCTGAAATATTGTCATCCGTCTTTTTTTTTGGTCCAGATTCTGTAGATTCCAGAACAAATAGCTCTTTGCAAAGGATTGAAGATGCCAGAAGAACGGTAGAGTCAATACAAAGAGGCGCTCCACCTTGCCAAGCAAGCAACAGCTCGACCAGCAGATCCTCTCAAGGACAGCCAAAGTTCTATGACATCTATCTTAAGTTTAGTAAAGACACGGTTGATGTACATAAAGTGAAGGACATCATACGCAGGAATGACTGGACGATGATGACTGCTGCCGAAAGCAGGCTCGGTGTCCCGAAAATGACCAGTATCGAGGACGCCCTGGAGACCTGTTCCCACGTGGTCCTTATAATCACGAAGGAGGATTGCGAGAAGGACGATACGTATTGGACCATGACGATGGGGATGGCATTTCAGTCGATGGTGGGCAGGAGTTTGAATGGTCGGGTGATTTCAATCCGATGCTGCGAGGAGAGTCTTCTTCCCTTATCGCTTCAGAGTTTGGAAAATGCATGCATCGATGATCGCTCTCTAGAGGACAAGCTGAAGAGGACCATTGATGTTAGCATCAGGAAGAAAAAAGAAGGATCATCAGTGGGTGAGTTTCATATGATTAAAAGATAATTAAAGCTTAGTTTTGGTAATGCTTTTGCATAGTGAGAGAAACTGAAAGCGATCAGAAGGAAAACAAGTATTTATACCTTTTCAGCCGCAGCACCTATCTTGTAGCTCCTGACCGACTTTTGGAGGTCACGAGCATGCAGGGTTTCGCGAGTGCCTTGAAACGTATTTGTTTTCAAGGACTTCATGAGGCTGTTCTGCTTATGGTATTCTCTGGGTTTGTGAGGAGCTTGTTCGACATCTTTAATACTGTTAGGTGTATTTCTCACAATATTGGCTATTGTCACACATACATAATATATTGCTTTCATTATGTTAATTATTTTCTGGTTGAATAGATTTTATACATCCATATGTTCTGGTACAATGTATGTTAATGTATTATTGTTAAAAAAAAAGGAAAGCGCATATAATTCTACACCATGGGTGGCCAACCTTTTAAAGCTCCCGGGCCACAGCTAATGATTATCATAACTTGGCGGGCCGTAGGTAATCTTCTCCCCTCCCCCCCCCCCACCCCCCTACACACACACACACGCACTCATGCAATACATGTACCGGTAAACACCTGCAATTTTGCAAAAACAATCAAGCAAACAACAAAATCAGTGAAAAAAATTAGTCTTACTTTTTTAGTGTGATTTCTGGGGCTGCATTTGATCATGGACCTTCTTATTAGGTCCATGACTTGATGGACAAGTTCCCAGATAACAATACGGCGTTGGGCCAACGTCGGTCACGGTCGGCAGGGTCGCAGTCGGCAAGCCAACGTTGGCTAATAATATTGTTGGGCCATCGTCGCCATTTTTTACTGATAAATGGTGGCTATTGGTTGGCTATTCGACGTTGGGCCAATGTTGGCTGAACGTTGGTCCATTGTCGCCATTTTCACTGATAAATGGTGGCTATTGGTTGGCTATTCGACGTTGGGCCAATGTTGGCTGAACGTTGGTCCATCGTCTCAATTATTACTGATAAATGTTGGCTATTGGTTGGCTATTCGACGTTAGGCCGATGTTGGCTGAACGTTGGTCAATTGTCACCATTTTCACTGATAAATGTTGGCTTTCGGTTGGCTTTTCGACGTTGGGCAAATTTTGGCTGAACGTTGATCCATCGTCACAATTATTACAGATTAATGTTGGCTTTTGGTTGGCTATTCGACGTTGGGCTAACGTTGGTTCAATGTTGTTCCATTGTCGCCATTTTCACTGATAAATGGTGGCTATTGGTTTGCTATTCGACGTTGGGCCAATGTTGGCTGAACGTTGGTCCATCGTCTCAATTATTACTGATAAATGTTGGCTTTTGGTTGGCTATTCGACGTTGGGCTATTAACGTTGGCTCAATGTTGGTCCATCGTTTCAAATTTTACTGAGAAATCGTGGATATGTTGGCTACACGCGACGTTGGGCCAACCTTGGCTAATCGTTGGTCCATCGTCTCCATCTTTACTGATAAATAGTGCATGTATATATTGGTTGGCTATATGACGTTGGGCCAACGTAACAAATACGGCCTAGTACCTACATCCGGGTAAAAAAAAAATTGCATGCGTGCGCATGCCCATGTGCTCATGCATATTCTGTCCATTTGTCTGGATCAGTTGCCGGGAGTACCTGCACTGCATGGTAAATTAATGATTTTCTTTCTCTTTCAACGTTATTTTTGTGAGCATGTCGCGTGAAACTGATAAATTGTATAGTGTGAGAACTCCCCGTCACAAAGCGAGGGAAATAGCATGAGAAATTGTTAAAGTAATCATTGATAATTCCCTGTCTGAATGAAAGTGAGTGCGAGTGTACCGCTCGGCGTATGCTTATCATGCACACCCGCTGCGTGCAATTGAAGTGTGAGTGATGGCTATGATGGCTATGATGGTTATGATGGGGGCCGAAGTGTCGGCATCAAATGCATTGAGTGTTTGCCGTGATAAATGTTAATATGTTCCTGACTTATAGAGTCAGACCTAGGTGATGCATTGATGCCCCATGTTCCAGCGTCCGTGACAGTGATGATGTTCATCCCAATATGCAATATTGACTTTGAATCAAATGATTGTGAATCTGTTGGTGTTACAAGTGTTGAAGGTGCTGATGCGTTCTTTGAAAGACCAATTGAATCAAATACTGATCTTGATATATAGACTAGAGCTGAATGGGAAGACGCATCATTTTTTGTATGCATATCTAAATGATATTATAGTCTCTATACTATAGTCTCTGATACTTTCAGATTTAGAAGTAGGTCTACGTCTACTATACTCTGTAGTAGCTCAATATAGATAATGCTGATGATGATTCAGTTCGAAAAGGAATCAATTATGAGATTGGGCTGTGAATTCAGATATCCCGCTAGTACATGTGTCTAGCCTCCTGAAATCTTACAAGGAAGTGTGCCAAGTCTGCCAAAATATGCAAGAACTTTGTATCAACACATTTAGTGGATTGTGAGTGTGATGTGAAATAGGTATCTGGTGGGAATTACCATCATTTTGGCATTTGCAATTATTTAAAGTCGCAATTGGCCAAGAACCACAATTTGATTGAATAGTAAATAGGAAAAACTATTGAGGGCGGGGGTATACACTGATCCCATAATTTTCATTCACAATTTTCATTCACAAATTTGATTATTGCTGCATTTTTATTCTCATTTTCAAGTCAGTTTTTATTATTTATGCACATGTATATTAAATTGCTATAATTTGAACTAAAGATAAATATTCTAATTATTTATTTTTAGATTTTGACGTTCTTTATTAATACATTCAAATCTATATAGCTCTTCCAAATCCCAATACTTTTGTCTCCTAAAATCCCTACAATTCTGAAATTTAAATATTAAATCCTGCATTTCATATCGTCAACTTCACAACAAATTCCAGATTCCTCTACCCGTCCAGATCCAGCTACCCCTACCTCGATCATCCAGAACAGCATCAACAGCACCAAGGACCCCTTCGACATCGACCCCATCAACCTCCAGAACACTGTCGACCCCAACGACCACATTGACCTCAACATTCAGAAATATGGGTATGTCATTTGGCATTTTATTCATTTTGTATTTAGTTATACATGTAGACAGGATAGCTAATGCACTTCTTAGTATTCGTTATAGTTGTGCCCTGCACACAAAGTACAAATGTACTGGATTAATGTACGTTTGTCTATGACATAGCTGCTAACGGATGCAAGTATCTTTTTCCTGATTATATTGAGAAACTGCATTGTGATCACTTACAAAACTATTCAACAACAACAAATCATGAAATACTGCTTATAGCTTCAACTTTGAAGCCTCTCTCAAGTATTGGGAGCTTCATATTTCACTTCAATTTTATAATGATGTGAAAGAGGATGCCACTCTTCTTTAAACATTTGTCCTAAAAATAAGAAAGAATACAAACTTACTAACTTAGGGTTTTGTGTTGTATGCAGAAAACGCAAATTTTGTATTCTTTCATCCATATTCTACTTCAAACACATTTGTTAGGGCAATATTCTATTTGCAGAAGTGCCCGGGTGTTAATGACATCCTCTTTCACATCATACCATTTAAGTGAGATTGTGCCATCTATTCTTTGGCTAATTTTGGGATCCAACACTTAAGAGGGGCTTTAAACTGTTATCAATCAAGCATCTCAACACTGAGCAAGCAGATACTATAAATTGGTTTTTTCTATTGAAGAATATCACTGCCATTTTACTTAAAATGTATATTTCCTTTGTTAAGAAGAGTGTTTGATGCTATTCGAATTAAACAAAGACACAAATAAAAGAAATCCATTCCTTTCTAATTTCCATACTACTGGTTCATTAGCTCTAAAATTTGAACGAAGTTATTTTCATGACAAAGTACTTCTATCCATGAAATTTCATCAAAATTAGGGAGGATGTGCCACTCAGGACTACTTCCCTTGAATGCCGTACTATTTGATTAATATCCGTACTATTTCAAGGTGATGTTTTGCTTTTAAATCTTGTTTGGTTTCTTTCTTCTTCTTTTTTTTGCCGCAGATGCCGAAGTTGTACCACCACAAGCTAGACAAGATTTTGATTCCGACTAACTCATTCTTTAAAGGTCCACTGCCTTAGGAAATTTAAACTTTTATGTCTTGTATCAAGACCCTTTTTAGGCAACATAATAACAATTGTTTCATAAATAAATGCCTCCTTATATTTTTTACAAATTGTTGAAAACCTCTCCAAGTTGCTCGTCTAATGGTGGACCCCGCCCCTTAGAATTCTCAGAGTTCCTCGGAATGATTGACCAAAGGATTAGTGATGTTATATCAAGAACGATCTCCGCTTAGGCAAGCTACGGTGCTTGCTAGCCAGCTCTGCAGGCATTATGTTTTGTACACAAACATAAACAATAACTTTTTTTTTTATTAAATAGTGTGCTATGCATCTTTACTTGTTATTTGTTGTGGTGAAATGTCATTAATGGCCCAATTTTAAAAAGAGAGCTATACCATGAGCCGAAGAAGGTCGTAATTGATTTGAATGCCTGTATAATGTGTCAACTAAATGCATGCTATAAAGAATTTCAAAGGTAAGAACAAAATATTTCATATATCTAAGTGACTGAATGTTTTTCGTACTACCTTCTTCTCAATTTAAAGAAATATTGAAAGTGGTATATTAGAGTGAAGACACTTGTGTTTTTCCCTTTACAAGCTCTGCTCTTTCTTATTTTCTCTTTCAAATTTCCTCTCTTGTTATATAAACATTTAGCGATTGCTTTACTTCACACATTCAAGCAATGTAGCCTATCCCTCCTGAAAAAACAGTTTGTAGATGTGTTAACAATAGATATGGCGACGAAATGTATCAGCATCTCTGAAATGCCTAAGCAACAAAATGTTGGCAATTTCTCTGAATTTAATTTTTAATTTGTTATGGAAAACTGTTTACATTAATTGCCTAGTTCTTGGTATGCAAATGGTGGACACTTCATTAATTTCTTTAT